ATTCAATTTTCAGTGAAAAACAATCAAAATTGTATTAGTTTCCCATAGTATTGTCAATTTTATTTTGTTAATTGCTATTTTTATTTGTGCTGTTAAGAGGTAAAAAAATAGTGTTGTTACTTACTGTAATAACCCCAATCAGGGCGGATACAGTCAGTTTTTAGAAATGACAGAAAAATGAATGAATTTAGAACTATAGATGCTATGCTAGGTTATAGGGAAACTAGGCTCAAACCCTCAGAATGCCCTCAATAGATAGCCCAGGATTCCTTCTTTGACAGCATCACATGTTGTGTGTAAGCATAAGCATTAACTACTAAATGGAGTGACAATTAGCAGAATTTATAATCTGTTATTCATTAGTTCAAGATATTACTTGATTTACTGAATTAGGTAAATAGAAGGGGTTTTTGACCCAATAAAATTTCCATATAATTCATAGTATGGAGTTTAAGAATTATTGTATTTTGCTCAGAGCCATAAATAATCATAACACGTATCTTCTAAAAGGTAACGAATCTTAAAACCAACATGTGACATGATCTTGTTTGTAGAAAATCCTAAGGAATACACACACACACACACACACACACACAATCATAGAACTAGTAAGAGTTCAACAAAGTCATGGGATACAAGATCAATATACAAGAATCAATTGTATTTTTTTTTCTTTTTTTGAGACAGGGTCTCACTCTGTTGCCCAGGCTGGACTATTGCCCAGGCTAGAGTGCAGTGGCACAATCTCAGCTCACTGCAACCTCCACCTCCAGGGTTTAAGTGATTTTTGTGCCTCAGCCTCCTGAGTAGTCAGTATTACAGGCATGTACCACCATGCCCAGCTATTTTTTGGGTATTTTTAGTATGGAAAGGGTTTTGCCATGTTGGCCAGGCTGGTCTTGAACTCCTGAGCTCCAATGATCAACCTGCTTTGGCCTCCCAAAGTCGCTGGTATAACAGACGTGAGCCACTCAATTGTATTTCATATACAGATAATAAACAATTCAAATATGAAATTGAGAAAATAGTTTTATTCATAATGTCAAAAAAAATTAAATACATACAAATTAACAAAAGGTTAAGACTTGTACACTGAAAACTATAAAACATTACTTAAAAAATAAATCATGGGACATTCCATTTTCATGGACTGGAAGATTCAATATTGTTAAACTGGCAATACTCCAAATTGATAATGTATGTTCAACATAATCTCCATCAAAATCCTAGCTGGCTTTTTTTTACCCCCAGAAATTGAGAAGCTGATCTGAAAATTCATGTGGAAATGAAAAGAACCAAGACTAGCAAAACAATCTTGAAAAAGAACTTAACACTGCCCAATTTCAAAATGCACCAAAAAGCCATAGTAATGAAGATAATATGGTACTTGCTTATAGAAAGACCTATATATCAATGAAATTGAATTGAGAATCTGAAATAAACCCTTTTTATCATCAATTAATTTTTCACAAAGTTGCCAAAGCAATTTAATATGGAAAATATAGTCTTTTCAGCAAAGGTACTGGGAATTGTATCCTCAAGTAAAAATATTAGTTTGGACCCCTATCTCATACCATATACCAGAGTTAACTCAAAATGGATCATAGATCTAAATATGTTTTGACTATAAATTCTTAGAAGAAACCTGGGAATAATATTAGTGATCTCAGATTAGGCAATTATTTCTTTTCTCTTCTTTTTTTTTTATTGTACTTTAGGTTCTGGGGTACATGTACAGATTATGCGGGATTGTTGCATAGTACATACATGGCAAGGTGGTTCGCTGCCTTCATCTGCCCGTCACCTATATCTGGTATTTCTACCCTCATTATCCCTCCCCACCATCCCCACCCCCACTGTCCCTCCCCCAGGCCCCCCGCTACTGATGACAGCGTGTGATGCTCCCCTCCCTGTGTCCACAAGTTCTAATTGTTCAAACACAGTGATTTAAAAAACTGATACATTGGCCAGGAACAGCGACTCACACCTGTAATCCCAGCACTTTGGGAAGCCAAGGTGGGTAGATCACAAGGTCAGGAGCTCAAGACCAGCCTGGCCAAGATGGTGAAACCCCATCTCTACTAAAAAACAAAAAGTTAGCTAGGCACGGTGGCAGGTGCCTATAATCCCTACTATTTGGTAGGCTGAGGCAGGAGAATCTCTTGAACTGGGGAGGTGGTGGTTGCAGTGAGCCGAGATATGCCATTGCACTCCAGCCTGGGCAACAAGAGCAAATTATATTTAATCAAAAAAGAAAAAGAAACTTTTATGCTTCAAAAGACACCATTAAGCCTGGGCACATGGCTTATGCCTGTAATCCCAACACTTTGGAGCGCAAGGCAAGAGGATCTCTTGAGGCTAGGCGTTTACAGACCAGCATGGGCAACATTCTGTGAGACCCTATCTCTACAAAAAGCAGAACAAAACTAGCTGAGTATGGTGGTGCATGCCTGTAGTCCCAGCTACTTGGGAGGCTTAGTCAGGAGGACTGCTTGAGCTCGAGAATTTGAGACTGCAGTGAGCTATGATCCTGATACTACATGGCAGCCTGGGTAACAAAGTGAGATCCTGTCTTTAAAAAAGAAAAGGTTAACATTAAGAAAATAAAAAGACAAGCCACACAAACTTGAAGAAAATATTTGCAATTCAAGAAAGGAGTTTAAGTCTTTTTTTTTTTTTTTTTTTGGTAACAGAATCTCACTCTGTCACCCAGGCTGGAGTGCAATGGCATAATCTCAGCTCACTGCAACCTCCACCTCTGGGATTCAAGCAATTCTCCTGCCTCAGCCTCCCAAGTAGCTGGGACTACAGGCACCCACTACCACACCTGGCTAATTTTTGTATTTTTAGTAAAGACAGGGTTTCATCATGTTGGCCAGGCTGATCTCAAACTCTTGATCTCAGGTGATCTCTCTGCCTTGGCCTCCCAAAGTGCTGGGATTACAGGCATGAGCCACCACACCTGGCTGAGTTTGTCTTTTTAACAACTTTATTGAGATATAATTTATATACCATAAATTCACTCATTTTAGGTACACAATTTCATGATTTTTAGTAAATTTACAGAATTGTGCAGCTGTCTTTATAATCAAATTTCAGAACATTTTCATCATCCCAGAAGGAAGCCTCATGTCCATTTTTAGTCAGTCACTCCCTCTTCCCTCCTTTCAGTTATCCCCATCAGCTTCAGACAACTATTAATCTCCTTTCTTTCTAAATTTGACTTTTCTGGATAATCCATATAAACAAAATTATACAATATGTGAATTTTTGTGCCTTGTGTCTTTCACTAAGGGTAACATTTGTGAGGTTGATTCATATTATAGCATGTGGCAGTACTTTGTTCCTTTTCATTGTCAAATAGACATGTAAACAAAGTCTTAAGTAACTAGGATTTCTATCATGCTGGATAATAGAGCTGATTATTAATTTTGATACACATTTATATCAAAAAGAATATAATCGTAAGCTGATTATATTTCCTTCAATGTGAAAGATAGTAAAGCTCAGTGAATTTCTAGTCTCATTAGACTCCTTTCTATAGTTCTTGATTAATAACTTGATAATATATCAACTTAGAATTATTAGAATAAGGCTGTCTTTATGGTACAGTATATGTAATTTTTGCTATAGCGTTCAAAGATCTTTTCACTGATAACAGTGAAGTTAAATTTGTTAGCTTGCTAAGATCACCATGATTTAAGATATGGTGGGAACTGAGAATTTAATTCCAACTTACATTATACTACTTGTGGGAAAAAGCTGGGCTGCATATTTTACATTCCTTGTTTTATTTAATGTAATTTGTAAAACAGTGTTTGAGGATAAATGTGTCAAGCAATAAGAGGCTATGCAAGACTGCTTAGCCTGGGTCTCTGGGAAAACTTCAAGAGATTCTTTACTAATAACACAACTGTGATAAAGTTTTTACTGAATTGCTTTACCAATTATAAAATTCATGATGTGAAAATCATAATGCTCCTTGACATTTCAAGAGCATTGCAAAACAATTCAATAGCAAAACAAGATGGTGATCCCAGAAGACCAGGTTGGGTAATGCCTCAGAGAAAGAATAGGTGAAGAGAAAAGCCATAAGGGAGCACTGAAGCACAAAACTTCAGACAAACAGATGTGGAATCTAGTGGAAAATAGCTGGAGACAAGCCCAATTGTTGTGAAGCTTTCCAAACTGAAGGGGACAGCCTTTAATACAAAGAAAATGAATCACAACCAGCCATGGCCTGAGAGCTGGCTGCTGTGATATGCTGCAGTCCCATCAGGGTCCTTCTTCACTTGTGGCAAGGGCCAGCACATGAAGTTACCTTGAAATACAGAGCAGAGGACGGGGTGGGAATGATACATATGGTAAGTATTCTTCTGCTTGTGGGTGATACATTCCCTACTGTCGAGAAGATCTTTTCTCTGCAGTTGAGTAGATCTTATCTGTTTTGCTTCTATCTGTGAATGGAGAAGTGTCTACCTATGAGCTATAGCAGCACCTCTGCAAATGCTCATTGAATAATGCACACTGTAGACACTTCTGACTGCATATGTATAAGCCATGAAATCAAGGAGAATATAGAATGCCTGATAATGATATTCTTCAAAAACACTAAGTTATTTTCTCATATTTGTTGATAAGTAGACATGGGATGTATTAGTTACCTCAGTTTCCTGCATACAAATTTTTACCCTAATGTGGTACATATTAATTTATAGTCTGTAACTTTGTGCTTTGTAATTGTAATTTTCTTTTAGGTATTTTAAGAGCTCATTAATAACACTTTACATTTTAAGGTTTAACACAAAGACAACTTGTAGGATATTCTATGATAAAACCAAAGCAGTAGTTTTTCTGACAATGATTTTAACAAATGAAACAACTGCAGCTTAAACCAGGAAATTGATTTTATTTTTAAATTCCAGGAATGTTAGATTTGAATTCTTGTCAAGGTTTCATTGATTACTTACTTTTGTATACATTTTGCTTTGTATTTCAAGAGTAAAAAAGCCATAAAGAATATCCTGCAAAAGTGCACCTACCTACCAGCCCTCGAACCATTTCTGTATGATGCTCCTCCCAATATTCTGAAGCATGTGGTTGGACAATTTAGTAAGGTAAGAAATGCCAGCCTCTAAGGGTGGAAGAAAATTAAAATAATTTGTTAACTTTTTTTGTTTTTCTGTTGGGTCAGTAGTTTTTTCTGTAAGACAGGGTCATGATTTTACTGCTTAACTCTCACCAATCTGTATGGACAGAGAAGTCACTGTAATAAGATTCACACATAAATAAAACATTTTCTTCATCCTCACATTTTCTTCAGAGCCTGTACTGTCTTTTTTAGTGTTCTCAGAAAATAAAAATCTCATAATTAGATAATTTATATTGGTAAGTGACTTTTAGTAATCTTCCTAGTGTTCATCTCACTCACCTGGGAATACTGCAAAGATCGTAAAGAGAAAAGGAAAAAGAAAGAGCCACTGAAATATCTTTCACAAAATCCATGTACTTTACTGGAGCTGTTCTCAGACAGTCATTTGGAGCACATTGACTTATTTTATGAATAATTTTAACAAATATAGCTGTCATATTCTGAGATTGTTGCAGATTAAATGATAGTAAATGGTAGTAAGGTAGAAAGTTCAAGCTGCTAGAAGTGGGCACAGCCAGCAAAGCTGATTACCAATAGCAAAGGATGAAAGAGAATGACTCTATTACTACAGACATTGATGGTCAGGATGGTGACCCTAAGCTATCAAGCTGGCTAAATCATGCTCAGTGAATTTTTTTTTTTTTAATTTTTTATTGGATTTTAGGTTTTGGGGTACATGAGCAGAGCATGCAAGACAATTGCGTAGGTACACACATGGCAATGTGCTTTGCTTTCCTTTTCCTCTTCACCCACATTTGGTATTTCTCCTCAGGCTATTTCTCCCCACCTCCCCCTCCCACTGGCCCTCCCCTTTTCCCCCCAATAGACCCCAGTGTTTAGTACTCCCCTTTCTGTGTCCATGTGTTCTCATTTTTCATCACCCGCCTATGAGTGAGAATATGCGGTGTTTCATTTTCTGTTCTTGTGTCAGTTTGCTGAGGATAATGTTCTCCAGATTCATCCATGTCCCTACAAACGACACAAACTCATCATTTCTGATTGCTGCATAATATTCCATGCAGTATATGTGCCACATTTTTCCAATCCAGTCTATTATCAATGGGCATTTGGGTTGATTCCAGGTCTTTGCTATTGTAAACAGTGCTGCACTGAACATTCGTGTACATGTGTCCTTATAGTAGAACGATTTATAGTCCTTTGGATATATACCCAGTAATGGGATTGCTGGGTCACATGGAATTTCTATTTCTAAGGCCTTGAGGAATCGCCACACTGTCTTCCACAATGGTTGAACTAATTTACACTCCCACCAACAGTGTAAAAGTGTTCCTTTTTCTCCACATCCTCTCCAGCATCTGTTGTCTCCAGATTTTTTAATGATCGCCATTCTAACTGGCGTGAGATGGTATCTCAATGTGGTTTTGATTTGCATCTCTCTGATGACCAGTGACGATGAGCATTTTTTCATATGATTGTTGGCCTCATATATGTCTTCTTTCGTAAAGTGTCTGTTCATATCCTTTGCCCACTTTCGAATGGGCTTGTTTGTTTTTTTCCTGTAAATCTGTTTGAGTTCTTTGTAAATTCTGGATATCAGCCCTTTGTCAGATGGGTAAACTGCAAAAATTTTTTCCCATTCTGTTGGTTGCCGATCCACTCTAGTGACTGTTTCTTTTGCCATGCAGAAGCTGTGGAGTTTGATTAGGTCCCATTTGTCTATTTTGGCTTTTGTTGCCAATGCTTTTGGTGTTTTGTTCATGAAGTCCTTGCCTACTCCTATGTCCTGGATAGTTTTGCCTAGATTTCCTTCTAGGGTTTTTATGGTGCCAGGTCTTATGTTTAAGTCTTTAATCCATCTGGAGTTAATTTTAGTGTGCGGTGTCAGGAAGGGGTCCAGTTTCTGCTTTCTGCACATGGCTAGCCAGTTTTTCCAACACCATTTGTTAAACAGGGAATCCTTTCCCCATTGCTTGTTTTTGTCAGGTTTATCAAAGATTGTATAGTTGTAGATATGTTGTGTTGCCTCCGGTGCCTCTGTTTTGTTCCATTGGTCTGTATCTCTGTTTTGGTACCAGTACCATGCTGTTTTGATTACTGTAGCCTTGTAGTATAGTTTGAAATCCAGTAGTGTGATGCCCCCCGCTGTGTTCTTTTCCAGTTCAGTGAAGAAAGTCAATGGTAGCTTGATGGGGATAGTGTTGATTCTGTAAATTACTTTGGGCAGTATAGCCATTTTCATGATATTAATTCTTCCTAGCCATGAACATGGAATGTTTCTCCATCTGTTTGTGTCCTCTCTGATTTTGTTGAGGAGTGGTTTGTAGTGCTCCTTGAAGTGGTCCCTTACGTTCCTTGTGAGTTGTATTCCAAGGTATTTTATTCTTTTTGTAGCAATTGTGAATGGCAGTTCGTTCTTGATTTGGCTCTCTTTAAGTCTGTTATTGGTGTAGACGAATGCTTGTGATTTGTGCACATTGATTTTATATCCTGAGACTTTGCTGAAGTTGCTTATCAGTTTCAGGAGTTTTTGGGCTGAGGCGATGGGGTCTTCTAGGTATACTATCATGTCGTCTGCAAATAGAGACAATTTGGCTTCCACCTTTCCTATTTGAATACCCTTTATTTCTTTTTCTTGCCTGATTGCTCTGGCTAGAACTTCCAGTACTATATTGAATAGGAGTGGTGAAAGAGGGCATCCTTGTCTAGTGCCAGATTTCAAAGGGAATGCTTCCAGTTTTTGCCCATTCAGTATGATATTGGCTGTTGGTTTGTCGTAAATAGCTTTTGTGACTTTGAGATACGTTCCATCGATACCGAGTTTATTGAGGGTTTTTAGCATAAAGGGCTGTTGAATTTTGTCAAATGCCTTCTCTGCATCAATTGAGATAATCATGTGGTTTTTGTTTTTGGTTCTGTTTATGTGGTGAATTACGTTGATAGACTTGCGTATGTTGAACCAGCCTTGCATCCCCGGGATGAATCCTACTTGATCATGATGAATAAGTTTTTTGATTTGCTGTTGCAATCGGCTTGCCAATATTTTATTGAAGATTTTTGCATCTATGTTCATCATGGATATTGGCCTGAAGTTTTCTTTTCTCCTTGGGTCTCTGCCGGGTTTTGGTATCAGAATGATGTTGGTCTCGTAAAATGATTTGGGAAGGATTCCCTCTTTTTGGATTGTTTGAAATAGTTTTAGAAGGAATGGTACCAGCTCCTCTTTGTGTGTCTGGTAGAATTCGGCTGTGAACCCGTCTGGACCTGGGCTTTTTTTGAGTGGTAGGCTCTTAATTGCCGCCTCGACTTCTGACCTTGTTATTGGTCTATTCATAGTTTCAGCTTCCTCCTGGTTTAGGCTTGGGAGGACACAGGAGTCCAGGAATTTATCCATTTCTTCCAGGTTTACTCGTTTATGTGCGTAGAGTTGTTTGTAATATTCTCTGATGATGGTTTGAATTTCTGTGGAATCTGTGGTGATTTCCCCTTTGTCATTTTTTATTGCATCTATTTGGTTGTTCTCTCTTTTATTTTTAATCAATCTGGCTAGTGGTCTGTCTATTTTGTTGATCTTTTCAAAAAACCAGCTCTTGGATTTATTGATTTTTTGAAGGGTTTTTCGTGTCTCAATCTCCTTCAGTTCAGCTCTGATCTTAGTTATTTCTTGTCTTCTGCTAGGTTTTGAGTTTTTTTGATCTTGCTCCTCTAGTTCTTTCAATTTTGATGATAGGGTGTCAATTTTGGATCTCTCCATTCTCCTCATATGGGCACTTGCTCAGTGAATTTGACCTAGCAAAATGGGGTCTGCGCGAGCAGTAGTCCATGGTGATCATGAGCTGACATTCTGAATTGGAGTACCTGGAGTTCCCACTTACCAGCTCTATAATTCTTTAACAAAATGTTGACCTCTCTCAACCTTAGTTTTGTTACCCATAAAATATAAATAATTAGAGTACTTATTTCGTAGGGTCATTGTAAAGAGTAAATGAGATATCATATATTAAGCATTTAGCTCAATCCCAGGCACATATTAAACACTCAAAAGAACAAAAATAACCAAAGAGTTCTATTTAAGAAATAAAACATGCGGCTGGGTGTGGTGGCTCACATCTGTAATCCCAGCACTTTGGTAGGCTGAGGCAGGCAGATCATGAGGTCAGGAGATCATGACCATCCTGGATAACATGGTAAAACCCCATCTCTACTAAAAATATGAAAAGTTAGTTGAGTGTGGTAGTGCTTGACTGTAGTCCCAGCTACTTGGGAGGCTGAGGCAGGAGAATCACTTGAATCTGAGAGGTGGAGGTTGCAGCGAGCCAAAATTGTGTCACTGCACTCCAGCCTGGGCAACAGAGTGAGACTCTGTTTCAAAAAATAAAAAGAAATAAAACATGCAAATGAGTCAAGGCTAATTTAAAAGATTTTTTAAAAAATGAATGGGCGGTGGCAAATTCATTTGAACAGTCAGTTACAATACTATGTAAATGAGAAGCCACTATTCATATACTGTATTTCTACAAATAATGAACAAAAGCTATGTACTGTTATAACTTTTAAAGTAGTCCCTACAGATAAGTTTGTCTAGTTTTAGGTCTTCATCTGAAAGAGTCTGCTAACAGCCTTCAGTTCTCTTAACTCTGTTCATGATCTCCAACAGTGTGAAAGGCCCTCAAGTGCCAGACCCACAGGAAAGTAGAAGTTTCACATTGCTGAAGCCACCCACCTAGGATACTGTTCTGTGTATCAAACACCTAGTCCTTTATTCCTCCTTCCAAGAAAATAACCAAACTTTTCTCCCCTTTTTAGTTATATGGGATGCGGGAGATATAATGCCATGCCCTCTTGACAAACTGACTAACCAAATAATGCAGAGAAAAGACTAAATTGCTGCAAGGGAAACTGATCCATTTCTTTATTTTTGTGTACTTTTGGGTGCTAGAAAAGTGACCAGCTAATTTGGTCGTCTAAGAGGGATAAGGGGTAAGGGGTTAAGTAGATCATCTACAGACAGATTCATCTGTTCTTGAACTGGGTAATTGACATTATTTCTGAAAGTTTCATTTTGTAATCTTTTAGTCTAGCGAGTGAGATATTCTGGTTTTATTGAAGTAGGTATGAAAATAAACACTAGCCTATATTAAGAGTTTAAAATAAGTAGAACCAGTGGGATGTGTAGAAGTTAGACAGCCCCAAGATAAAATAAATACAGTACCAGTATCATATATGCTTATAAATGTGCCTTCAGGAATATTTTCTTAATCTAAGGATACCAAAGCACTAAAAAGAGATGATAAAGCAAGGTAGAAAGTGAAAAGATACTAAAGTGGCTGGGGACAGAGATAGGAAGTAATAAAAATTCTCCAGGCCAAACGAAATATGTAAAACCAATATATTTATAGACTACTATATTTTTACAAATACATATTAGTGCAGTCTTTTATTGTCCAGCTTATTTGTATTATTGTTCTATTAGCAATATATTTTTGTGGTTTTAATTATTTGTTAAATGCCTACATGTACCCAACTCTCTGTTAAGCATTGGGGAACAGACAAAAAAGACTAAGATAAAGTTGATCTTCAGGGAACTTTATAAACTAGCTGAGGAGAGCAGACGAAACAATTAGAAAACATTTCAATATACTAGACTTGGAGATAAACTCTTTTTAAAAGAATGAATGAGTGAACGTAGTCTGAAGTGTTCAGATAGGGCTTCAATGGAGGAAGGACAAGTGAGAAGAGCTGGTCCTTGCAGAAGGACCAAGATGGGGGGAAAGAAGGTGTTTCTGTCAGAGGGATAGTAGCAGTGACCAAGGAAGATGTCAGGACTTCCTATGTTGTGAGCCCACCTCCTTCCCAGGACCTTCCTAGTCTGGTTAGCTTTTTTTGTTTCTCATAATGAATTTCTTCATTTCCACTGGCTTTTTCCTGTCAATGTTCAAACATGCTCAAGTCTCCTTGATCCTAAGAACAAAATCTGCAACATCGTTAGCCTTTAGTTCTATTCTAGCTTGATCTACTGATTCCCTCTCTTTTCTTTCTGAAACTTTTAAGTTTGCCTTGACTTCCTTACTTGGGACACTTTCCTCAGCTGCTGGTAACTTGGCTTCAACTTCCCCTCCACACACAGCTGCCCTTACTCAAGTCTTCAGCAACTTCTCTTCACTGTCAGATTCAGTGACTTGTTTTTTAGTTCTGTTTGGTTGCTTTGAGAAGTCTTCTCTTGGATTTATTGATTCCTTATGTTTCTGATCTTCTTCTCTGTCTCTCTAACGTTTCAATCCCCTTTCTCTGCCTACTTTTCAGTATATTCATTTGTTAAACATTTGTTGAACCTCTGTTAGGCACCAGGCCTGAGGGAAATGAATGAATCAACTCGTGTAGTTTCTGCCTTCAGTGATATTATGACAGACATATAGTGGGTAATTAAAATATTGTGTGATATTTAAGTATTATGTGGTAACCACATGGATGGTGGTTTGACAGAATGCTGGCAGAAGAAAAAGACCCAACTCATCCTGGGATAAGGGGATAAGGGTTTCCAGAGAAGAATTCTTAGAGGAGGTAATGCTTGCGCTAAGTCTTAAAAGATGACTAAGAGTTAACCAGCATAGGGGAGACGTTTCTGGAGTGTGGAAAGCCATCTTAGGAAGCGGTAACAGCTTGTGCAAAGGCAAGAGATGGCACAGCATGCATGCTGTGATGTTACTGAAACAATATTTAGAAAATTGGTAGGTAAGGTGGCTGGAGAGGTATTTAGGAGTTGGTTCCCACAAGACTGTGTGCTTTTTAAGGAGCTTGCCTTTAAATTCTCAGAGAATAGAGAGACCTTGAATGGTGTAAGCTTTATATTTTATATCTGTGAGTGGATCTCCATTGCCGTTGCCATGTTCATTGCCTTTATTTCATCTCTACAGCATAAAAGTTAAATTCTAAAAAGAGCACATTTCACTTAAAATCAGCAGCAGATATGGCTCATTATATTATAGGTATATTGGGTATAAATCCTCTTTTACATTTTCTCACATACATTATTGCTTTTCAATAGTAATAATCTAACTTGAAAAAGGAAAGCTGACGTTTTTCTGTGCTTCACTTTTCAAGGTGCTGCCACATGATAGCAAAGCTCGACGACTTTTTGTAACAAGTGGTGGCCTTAAAAAAGTTCAAGAGATAAAAGCAGAACCTGGTTCTCTCCTTCAAGATTACATCAACTGTATTAACAATTGTTACCCAGAGGAAATAGTGAGGTGGGGAAAATGGAGTTTGAAATATTCAATATTAGAATGTAGTTTTTCTGTTTTCAAATCTAGATTTTTATATCTACTGTGTCAAAATGTGGACTTCAAAATATGATGTGAGGCCAATATATACCTTTATTTCTCTCTTGATCTCTTCCCCCCTCCCTGCCACAAATTAATTGTTCTGACTGACATGCACATTTCCAATTCAAACTGGAATGTTATTAAAGACATTTTTTGTACTAATTTAATATATGCTTTATTAAAGAATACACAAATATAGAGTTCAAATTAAACAGTTTTTAAATTGTGACTACCTGATTTAGAATCGATTCTGATTTTCATATTTCCCTGCATATTACTTTTCTGCCTTAAGCTCACATTTACATTAATGAGAGTATCGCAGGTAGAAAAAAGTCACTATCTAAATTAAAAAAAAAAAAAACCCAAATAATGTTTATGATATACAGGTACTTCAGAGTAATATAGCAAGATGCTATTTTCAAGATTAAAAAATATTCACTTTTAAATGAAGTTGATTTGCAGAGCATTCAGCCTAAGCCTCAGTCCTTGTAAGGCTAAAGGAAAACTATTTCACTAAACTCAAAATAAATAAAAGCAAAGTTACCAGGAAAAGGTAGAATCATTTAGATAATTTAAGAATACCCACAAGGCATGCAGAATAAAAGCACATTTATCTATGTTTTTCTAATCCTACATTTTTCTTATTTTCTTTGATTAATATTGGAAAATATAAATTCTAAAGCTTACATGCTATAATATATACTTATGTAAGTTGGATCTCAGTTAGTTCTTCCTATTTAGTAACAGTGATATTTAATACATATGCTAACATAAATTTTAAAAGCACAAAAACAATTTTGAGATCAAAATTTATTTTCTTTTCACACATTTTTATCCAGTAAATTCTTTCCAGAGTTGCCAGTTTGTGCACTTTTAGGAAGTTTATGAGAACTGCTTGACCAGAGAGTTCCAATGAGTCAGCTTTGAAAATATTAATATATATGATACATCAAAGCAGTGATATAACATGTATAATTAGTCTACATATAACATACAAATTTATATATATATATATATATTTTTTTTTTTTTTTTGAGACGGAGTCTCACTCTGTCACCAGACTGGAATGCAGTGGTGTGATCTCAGCTCACTGCAACCTTCACTTCCTGGGTTGAAGCAATTCTCCTGACTCAGCTTCCTGAGTACCTGGGACTACAGGCTCATGCCACCACACCCAGCTAATTTTTTGTATTTTTAGTAGAGATGGGGTTTCACCATGTTGGCCAGGAAGGTCTTGATCTCTTAACCTCATGATCCTCCTGCCTTGGCCTCCCAAAGTGCTGGGATTACAGGCCTGAGCCACCACGCCCAACCACAGATTTATATTTTAAAAGTTTGTATAACATAAAATGTGTAAAACCATTAAATGAAAGAAATATGAAAATCTTTTATCAAGAAAGTAAAATTCATTTTTATACATGGATATATGTCTCTTCAGGAAGAATGCTGTTTTATACAAGTTTAATATAACTTTCAGTGCAACTTTGTTACAAACAAAATTATAGAAAGATGCAAAAAAAAAAAAGAACTAACCAAAGGGTCCTGAGACCCAGAATGAATGACCTATTAGAATCAACCAATGGTAAGGTACTTTCTTGAATAGAAAATTTTCCCACTTTTTTGAAGGCATATTTTAACTGAGCACCAGGAGAAACTACAAAGTCTGTCACATTAGAAATTAATCTGGTGCTTTGTCAAAATGCCATTGTAAATTTTTAACTTCTCCAATTCTGTGAGCTGGGATTTCATTTTTTAAATTGACTAAAGATTTTGGCTAGCTAACTAATGTTTTCAAATTTCTGATAATTTCACCATACAGGGCAAGCAGGAAAACCTCTGTTATATCTTAAAGCATTAGGTTCTATAAAATAGTATTTTATAGAAATCTTTGAAATGTTGTCTTTCTATGAAAATAGACAAATATAATCTCAACGTAGTTTTATTTTTACAATTACATAATTCTCAAGAATCGCTTGATGACAACTATTTTAGAACTAATTATCCTTTGTAAGAAAGTTTATCAACTGATACATTCATCTGTTACAACCTAAACATTTATTTCACAGCCATAAGGTGTTTTTGAACTCCTTTGTCTTCAAAATCTCTGCCTTAGCTGGGGTGGGGAAGCGGCTTTGGGACAACATCTAATTTGGGGCGGGAGACATGGACACACAGTCTGCCATTTAGCACATTTCTGGTATCATAACATTATAATAACCCCAATTCTATGTGGGTCTAGGATAAGGTTAATTCATTTATATTCTTAAGGGCCATTTAGAGGTAAGTTGGAATAGCCATAGCCGTGGTTGCTGGTCAGAGAGAAGGAATTTCCTGGTCTCACCTGAAGGCTCATGTTGGTTCTTTCAGGAGGAGTATGGCTAAGAGCTCAGGCTTAGTTGTCAAACAGGCCTAAATTCCTCTCTCAGTTCTAACTACTTACTGTGTGACCTTGAAGATAATAGTTAACCCTTTTAGTCACAGTTTTCACATCTATACAAGGTGGTTAAAGATAATTACTTATTTAATATAGTTAGAACTAAATGAGAAAATGCTTAGCCAAAGGGCTACGTGTGGCTACTGAGGACTAGAAAAAATGGCTAGTATGTCTGTGAAACTGAATTTTTAATATTGAATTTAAAATTTTAAAAACCTGACACTTGATTCCGTTATTAGAAAACTTTTAGATATGTTTGGAACAACTTGAGAGTCTATTTTTTTTTTTGAAGCGGAGTCTCACTCTGTCACCCAGGGTGGAGTGAAGTGGTGTGATCTCGGTTCACTGCAACCTCCGCCTCCTGGGTTCAAGTGATTCTCCTGCCTCAGCCTCCCAAATAGCTGGGACTACAGGCACCCGCCACCATGCCTGGCTAATTTTTTTTGTATTTTTAGTAGAGACGGTGATTCAACATATTTGTCAGGCTAGTCTCAAACTCCTGACCTTGTGATCCACCCTTCTTGGCCTCCCAAAATGCTGGGATTACAGGTGTGAGCCACCACACCCAGCCCACTCTGTTCTTTCAGCTGCAAATTTTATATAATCTAAATACAGACATACTAGCAATTTTTTTTTCTTTTTTAAAAATTTATTTTATTTTTTTGAGACAGAGTTTTGCTCTTGTTGCTCAGGCTGGAGTGCAATGGCGCAAACTCAGCTCACTGCAACCGCCACCTCCTGGGTTCCAGCAATTCTTCTGCCTCAGCCTCCTGAGTAGCTGGGATTACAGTCATGCACCACCATGCCTGGTTAATTTTGTATTTTTAGTAGAGACAGGGTTTCACCATGTTGGTCAGGCTGGTCTTGAACTCGTTACCTCAGGTGATCCACCCTCCTTGGCCTCCCAAAGTGCTAGGATTATAGGCATGAGCCACTGTACCCTGCCCATGCTAGCCATTTTTCTAGTCCTCAGTAGCTGGTGGCTCCCATATTTAACATGGTGATAATAATTATTATTAATCTAATACCAATGATATCATTATATCAGTACTAAGAATAGTATATCATTAAATAAGTAAAATATTAATATATTTATGTAGTAAATTAAATACTACGCTAAAATGGTATAAAATGTATTCGTATTTGAATAAAAAAGGTTAAAATTTTAAAGATAGTTAAGAATCTACCTTTTGCATTCTTCATATCTGTTGTCTGATACATTTGAAGGCCTAGGAAGGTAAAGCCTACTTTAAAATTTTTGACTAACTCAGAGAAGAAACAGTTGTGAATTTCTCAGTCTCAGAATACTTCAAAGAAACCCACTGTTGAAAGATAATGTTTTCAAGAGGCTGATAGAGAAGAAATATTCTTTAAGGTAGCTTTTTGGATGCGTACATAAGTATCTGTTTAAATATGGATGCCTGTAAGCACACTACTGAGAAAGTACAGCTGTGTTTTTTTTTGGTCCACCTTAACTTGATAAATTGTGGAAGAAATTAGTGTGAAATTATGAGTTTGTAAGTCGAGCATCTGAGCATAGATGAGATAACTAACAAAGGATAGAGCAAGTCTCTAATAGTAGGTTTTATCTGGAGAAAATGCCTTCAGAAGCTTAATATTTTGAGTGTTTTGAGAATTTTTGAAATATATTTCCATAGATTTAAAAAATCTATTTATTCTAGAATGCCTGCTAAATTTTGACATTCATTTCTCTCCATGTAAATTATTTCCATGACATACTAAGTATCTCACAATGTGTTGATCAACATATTTAATACTTTTATACTAGGTCTTGTATACGGTAACTATTAATAGTAAAAAATGATTAATTTCCTAGGTTTGTATGACACAAGTATTTGTAACCCATTTATTAAGTAGTTTTTCAATGTGGGTTATACTCCTAGAAATTTTTGTTTTCCTGGGTGACTAGATCTGAGTAAAACCTATGCTGAGAATGATCTCTAAGGCAGTCAGAATGCAGAAGTTTATTAGTAACAATAGACTGTGTAGTCTAACTTATGAAAAAAAATCTATTAGCTATGATCCTAAAGCAACATTAGCCACTTGATATGATTAAAATGAAGTCTCTGTAATAAAATATTGTCACTGGATTGAAGATTCTTGTTTGGAAAATGTCCCCTTTGCCATTACATTTATATCCCTTAAATGTTTTGTTACTTCTGTAGCACAGTTTTATGAATTCATATTATTTTCCTGGATAGCCTCTAACTTTATGCACAAAGCATTACTGGAACATAATTATTCAGAGTATATTTGAGGTTTCACTCACAGGATTATTTAAGGTAAATCCCCTATGTTGAATCTTATGTACCTACTGTGCTGATTATTTCACAAGCATTTAATAGAGTATTTTCTTTTTTCAGGTATTATTCCCCTGGATATTCAGATATTCTTCTGCAGAGAGTGGACAGCTATCAACCACTTATTAACTAAGCAAAGTTGTATTTTGATACTCAAATTCACAGCAGAGTAGTTATGAGTAACAGTAGTTAAATCTTTCTAAATATTTGAACTTAAGTATATTCTAGATTTATTTAATGGGAAATACCTTCAGATACTATTTTCTAAATTTATATAATACTTTAAATATTAGTAGCCTGAATAATGAGGAACTATTCATGGTCATTCAAATGCATAGGATTTACTCTAAAGGTAGATTTTAAAAACACATTAAAGGGCTTTAAGGCATTTGTTATTCTGTTAAAAACCATACACACTCATACATGCAGACACCTCCAATGAGATATAGATAAGAGATGGTGTTCAAAAACCCTAAATTATTCTTGCCAATTTCTCATAGGCATAGGGCAAGGAAAACTGGTCTTGCTAACTATATAGTAGGATAGAGAAGAGAAATCTTTGAAAGAGGAAACTGATGACAGATATACAGGGCACTTTGAAGGAGACTCTGATGCTAGTTACTTAAGTACGTTAACTTAAGACACAGACTCTACTGGTAACCTGTTAGGTTTTGCCAAGAGTTTACGAAGAATTTACTCCTCTTTATCACAAGTTTTCCAAAATCCCTTCCCCACCCTATCTAACGTGTTCCTTACCTTTCATGGGGCCAGTGAGAGGGTAGAATTCAGAATAAAGAGTTATACTCCTGCAGACATGCTCTCCCTCTTATTGAAAGGTTTCTTAGTCTAGCTCTGCTCATGAATAAACAAAGCAGGCATGTAAAATGGATCCTTGTCCTAGCTTCACTTTCCCAAGTTTCAAAAGCCACATATTCAGGGATTTAAGGAATAATTTGAAGATAATACCATCAGGCTCAGACTTTAAATACATTTTCACTTAGGAAGTGGTAAAGGGGTGAAAGAGAGTTTCAATAAAATTTTAAATAAAAACAGCATTAGAATTGTCCTTTTCATTTTTCCTATCCAGTGTGTTATTGACCTTGGGGAATATGTGATTGGATTTATGGGTCTTGGTTAGTTGCTGTGTGTGTATCTTTTGCTTTAAAGGGAAATTGCTTCTGCTGCTCTCTCCTGGAGGAGGTAAATGATAACCCATACAGCCCCCATGCCACGGTGTTTCCAGTTTAACTGTTTTCAGCTTTCTTTCCTATACTCTTTTTGTTTTCAAGTGCAAAAGGAGCTACCCGTTTTTTTGTTTTTTTTTTTTAATTTTCTGGATTCATCTCTGTCGTCATTATTTCCTAACGGTGCATAGCTTTGTTGCATCATTTAAGACTTCATAATATGAAGTCTTATATATCACCCAAGATGACCCCATTCCTTTTTGCCTGATGTCTGGCTAAGATTGCTGGTGATTTCGTTTTTTAAAAATACTTCCTTGGGCCTATTTTGTTCCCTTGGAGCAATTTCTTAGACCTGTTGAATAGGAAAATGTAATTTTTATTCCATTTTATAGCTTTCCTTTCTTTCCTTCATGCCTACACAGCTTGTCTTATGAATCTTTTAATCTAAGAAAATAAAAGCAGTTTTTCTCTTTCTTCATTAGGGCTGTTTTTCTTAGATGACCATGTTTATAATGACAGAAATTAGTTTATCTGGGTTAAAAACACCTCAGATATTATTGGAATGTTGAATTTCCTCTTAGGTATTTTGTTGCCATTATACTTTGTAGTACAAAGTTTTTCACTTCATAGGTAATTTCATACTTATCAAATAGTACTAAACAAAGTAATAAAATACTTAATAGTGTTCAGATTGGTGTTATAATTTGATCATATGCATTTTGGAAAATTTATGCTATTAAATGTTTATTTAATATTCCCCTGTTCTTAGGAATTCTCTACTTATATGAACAACTATTTTTAGGCCTTCAGTTCAGGAATAGAATTACTTGGACCTTATTATTATAGATTCAGTCCTTTCACCTCTTGTGGAAATAGGTGAAATCAGTGGTACCTGAAAAGAGATGCTGAAAACATAGGTTCTAGTCTCTCTCTGTTAAGTATTATAGTAAGGGTGATAATGGTCACTCCACTTACTCATAAGAAGCTTATGAAAATAACCTGCAGTGGTGCACATAACAATTTATAAACAAATCCATTTTATACAAACTTGACATGTGATTAATGGGAAATCTGATAGTCAATGACAGATTACATATTTTGGCCAGCAATTGTGCAGTATTCCCAGGCCCCATACTCTTAGACAAGTGGAGTTCAAACCAGATGATTTATGGTTTTTTAAAAAACTACATTTCCTGCCCTCATGGAGTTTTCTAATATAACACATTTGCCCAGACAGAGGCAGTGGAATAGGCACAAGACACTGAACACAAAACAGGCATATTTAATGTATATAAAAATAAATGGCAACCATATATTTACAAGATACTGACCTGTTTTTCTAAACCCTCTCAAAGAAAACCCTTAAAGAAAGGATGAAAGATTTGCTTGTTTCTAAACCTGATTTGAGGTCCTGCTTAACATAAACTCTGACCTTAAATTCCTGGGTGAGGCCCATCTCCCATCCCAGATGTCAAGTTTAGAAACTAACCTTGAAAGAATGAAGAAATTTTCTGTTGTGTTTTCAAATAGCCAATTCTTTGATTAAGATAGGTGCTACTAAATGTTGAGGTTTATGTACACTGTGACTTATTCTGCCACAGAATTCACTGGTTAGAAAGTGTTGACTTGTAGCTGTTCTGCTTCTTTCAGAGATTAAAAGGATCAAGTGGCTGTCCTATAATTATTACATTTGCCAGTTATTTAAGAGACTCTTGACTTTTAAAATTAGATTTGTTCATGCACTTACTTTTCTAGTAACATATACTCACGTTGCTTTGCTTTTATGAGGACTTGGTAGGCCACAAAATTAGATGCATATTCAGTGTTATTACTTTAAAGAATTGTAGGTTTTATTGTTTTGGAGGTATCAATAAGGTAATTTAAAAAAAATAGGCAGTATATGAATGGATAAAGAAAGAAGCGAAAACATGACTCCAGATCGCACAACCCAAAACAATAGCCATTAACAAGCTGAGATAATTCCAAATAGCTCTCCCAGCCTTTTTACAGCTAGAAAAATTCTGGAAAAATGTATTCATGCTATGCATATTATTTTAAAATTAAAAGCAAAAGTTATCACAGTTTGCTTGTTTCATGGGTGATAAAGTTTTCACATTGTTTTTAATTTTAGTGGGTTTAGGGAAAAATAATTCCTTGGGGATTAAGTTAGAGGGCAATATAAAATATTTATAAATGGGCTTCTTTTAATTAAGATTGATACATTTTCTAAAGTAGATTTAAACTGAATGTTGGATAAAGAATATCATACCAATATATCATTATTGCAAGGTGATTTGGTATAGATATTCATACATTAAATAAAGCCTCTAAATTTCCGCATGCATATAGAATTTTTGGTAATACACTCTTCTTGCTAAAACTTATACATTATTGATAGTAAATGTTTACTTAAAGTATTTTTGAATATAAAGAAGTCCAACTCTATGAAAACTATTATAACCTATATTGCGTGTTCTGTTTTTTGTATATCTGTTGCATGTATAGTTTGAATCATACAATGTAAGTGTGTAAAGTGCCAAAGGGAATGTCAGCATTTTCCCATATTTTTCTTCACTAACTAAAGATGACCTTTTACTTACATGAGTGAAATGTGCCCTGTTGTCAGTCGGCAGTGTCACCCAGTACTGTGGTGAACACGCAGGAGAACTAGCAGCAGGTTGGACTGACAGTAAGGGCCGCTAGGCTCCTGGTTGACCTTAGGTTATGCTAGCTCTGACCACAGCAAGTCTCCTCAAGTCTCTGGGCCTTAGTAGACCTTTATAAGAATCTCAAAACTACAACCCCAGTCAGTGGCCTTGGCAAGTTGCTAATAACACTCACTTCATCAGATTCTGAGAATTATTATGTGAGGATGAGTGACCAGAAAGCTTGGCATGTAGCAAATGATACCACCATTAGTCTATATATCTTTGTGTAAATATAAAAGGTGCCCAGTCCTCAAGATACTTTATTTCCATCTGGCAGAAATTATTGTAATAGTCTTATTTTGTTAGAGCAACACACTTTACTGCCATCTGCTGGAAAATTCTCTTTATAAATATGCAAATTCATGATGTCTACTTTGTGAACCATGCCCCCTTAGAAGTGTCGTGCCCTTATGAGGTATACAACCTGTGTAACTGTGCACATAGGTGCCTGATAGATCATATTTGCTACTCTTTTTTTTCACTTCTATAATGGATTTCAAAGAGTTTCAGATAAACAATGCTAAAAGATAAAGAAGTTTGTTTAAAAAATCAAAGAGTCAAAGTTAATATCAATAAAAAGAATCAGCTTTTTGTTGCAAAGCCTGGAAACATTTGTGCCCACTGCTTCCCTGACTGCCCCCTTCCCCGACAGAAAAGTGTGCTCTACAATAAAACCTACAATTTAAGTTAGCAGAGATACTAATTAAACCATTATTCTTGCATTTATAGACAATGTACATGAGACCAAATATGGGACCACATTATATGTATGCAAAACCAAAGCACAATTTGGAATAACCTATATAGCCTTTTCATTTTGACTTTAAAAATTGAATAAAAATATATTAATAATGTATCATCACTGCAAGATGGTGGATCTCTAGACAGCGACACTTTTGGGCTTCATTTTCTTCATCTCAGAACCTGGGTTGGGATATAACAGGTGTCACTCTCTTCTAGCCAGACAGTCCTTAATGAAGGGATGTTATAGTACCCTTTTGCACACAAAAGGAAGTATTTGGCTCATTTTCATAGCTAGCTGTACAATCATGGAGAAGACTGACTAAAGTAGGATAAAGGAGAGTTTATTGATAATGGGAGCACTCTCCCAGAACACGAGATTGATCACTCTGGCGGGGGTGATAAGATGACTCTTGGAAGCTTGGAGAAAGCAGCAACAGCCCATAGTAAGTGAAGTGGAAATGCCATGACTGCAAAGCCAGACTGGAAGAGGTGCCAAGCAACTCAGAGAGGTGGACATGTTGGAGTACATAGCTTATGTGGGGATGGAAAACCCCCAGCTGACTGCATTCTAGGAGAAGGCCCAGAAGACATACCATTTACCAAAGTGATAAGAAATGCATTGTTAAGAGCGTTACAGTCACTGAGAATCTCAGTGGAGTTGCTCTTGTGTATGCCAGGGTTGACTGCAGGAGACACTGCTACAGAACTGGGCTCTTCAACAGAAATACGGATGATAGAATCCTGAAATAACAGAGGCCAAGTAGCAAGACTTAACTGTCAGAAGCAAGGTGTGCACACATTGCAATAAGTGCCAAGACATGTGACATCCAGGGACCCAATCCACAGAGAGCTATGAAAATGCTTAATAGAATTTCCTAGAGGCAAGATAAATGGGCAGTCAACAAGTATCAATTTATAAAATAAAAATAAATATGAGGCTGAGGGCAGTTGTCATGGTAAAAAGTCACTAGCTCAGTTTCCAAACCTGAGTCAGATCTCAAATCTGGGACCAATTGTCTGAAGAAGAGGATGATCCTTATGACAGCAGAACCTAAATCACCTGAGCAAGTGTGTTTAGTAATTATTTCACCAGCACTTCAGAATATTGTTCCAATCCTTTTACCAGATAATAAAGCTGTGCAGCATGCCTAGACAGCAGTACAAGAAGCCCTGCTATATCCCTCAGCAGACCCTATGGTATTAGAGGAATCTGTGGTGAGAAAAATGCTGGGGATAGTTGCTGGTAATCAATTTCAATGAGAGAATCACAGCATAGACCCCCTAGGGTTCTGGAGAAGAACCATATTATCTGTATTAAACAGATACCATTCGAAAGTTCTTGGCTGGGTGTGGTGGCTCATGCCTGTAATCCCAGCACATTGGGAAGCTAAGGCAGGAGGACTCAGCAGGAGGATTGTT